TAAGGTAGTTGTTAAGTTTAGGTATTGGGTAGGATTAGGGATGTAGAATATGCTCATGCTGAATATGTGCTTTAAGTACTAATAAACAGCCAATATGTTAATAATAGGCATGCTAATAAGCAACTAGTTAATAGCGAGAATTGGTCGCTATACTAAAGTGTTACCCAATTATTAAATATTACTTTCATGATATGCTTTTGTCTTTGATTCATCAAGTTAGACATAATACTAAAATAATAAAAATCAATATTCATTATCAATTTTTTTGTTTATTTGAATTATTCCAATACTACTACTACTAATAATAATGGTAACACTTTAGTATAGGGACCAAATTCTCACTATTAACTAGTTGCTTATTAGCATGCCTATTATTAACATATTGGCTGTTTATTAGTACTTAAAGCACATATTCAGCATGAGCATATTCTACATCCCTAATCCTACCCAATACCTAAACTTAACAACTACCTTACTAACTATTAATAAGCAGCAAATTAGGAAATGATTGAGGCAAAAGTTGTAGTTAATCGTTTGTTAATAGCGAGAATTGGATCTTAAAATAAAGTGTGACCATAATAATAATAAATATTCATAATCCATATTTTACATAATTATTTTACATAATCTGTTGATCATTTAGCCTTGTTATTGTATTTAAATTATTAAAAAGATCCTCCTAATAAAACGACCTGCCTATAGATGCCTGAGATTCTGTATAGGCTTAAGCCTTCCTGCAACCCTGCGTAGGACAAGTGTTTAGAACATGAATGAATTGAAAAAGAAATAATAAAAAATTGGTTCTACTTATAAGTATTTGTCCCACAAAACAATATGGAGCGTTTCAGATCAGATGCTTATGAAGTTCTATTCAGTGTACCCACATTAGGCAATATGAAGCATGTTTGTTTGACTATAGTGATCGCTCCATACCATACTGGTTCGGTTGAACTCAGAACATATATAGTGTGAGCACTAACCACAGATCTTGAAAGTCTTTCTGCACGACATAAGCGATAGAATAATTAAGTAACATATATTACACATGCAAGAGGACCACGTGTCACAGCACCCCAAACCACTCAAAATAATAAGCCACAATGTTACCATTCCTGTTTTTTTGCACTTGCATCGTAATGACGTAAGCGTGCTCAGGCCTGTTAAAGTGCGATGTGAGAGTGCAGGTCAGCGGGGCAGTGGGGAGGGGGGACATTCATGCTTAGCCACGGTGCAAGTCAACTGTGTCTAATAGACAGTAGATGGTTACTCGAACACACACACACAGTTGTACGAGAACAGCAGTGGCATTACTATTTGATTAAGAGAAACAGGAATTTTTGAGTACACTACATAATTGTTATCTGTACTTGCTATCTTTAACTCCTTTATCTTTTGCAACGGTTTGATGCAACATGAAACTTTAACACGCACCCACACATATTTGCATGCTTCAACTTGTAGCATGTGACACACTTTCTTCTGTGTATTTTTCTCACATGAAATCAACGTCGTAAACGTGTGGCTAGTGTCGGACAGGCGGGTTTTCCGAGTCGAGGGTAACGGCATGTTCTAGGAAGCAGGCAGCTACAGCGGGGCAAATATTGACAAGCTCGTTCAAGGCTCAAACAGTGAGAGTCTGGATACGGTAAGACAGGAGATCTCAGTGTACCGGATAAAGCTGTTTGAACTTGCTGTTTTGGCAGTGGCTGATGTTCGGTGAACGAGAAAAACAGAAGGGGAGGGAACTAGAAAACAGAAGGGGGAATGAACGGTTGAGCACCCAAAAAGGTGAACGGGTTGAGAGAGATAGGAAGGGAGGATGGTATGTGAGGTAGACAGATAGAGAGATAAATAAAGAATGGCTGTAGAGGACAAAAACAAAAAGTTATGAGGTGATTCATCTCCGTCCCAACTAGGTGAAACATGACACATCTCCGCAGAGAGCAAAATACTGTGTGACATGATAAAAAAACACAGCTAATGAGGACTTCAAGTCATGATATGTTACATATTTGAATTTTGGACCAATGTGATTTCAATGTGGGTGGAGCAGTTAAAATCGAGTGCAGCCTTGCTTGACCGCTTTTTCAGCTGCCTTGGTTCTGGAAGGTTTTTCATTCTATTTGGGATATTAAAAAAGTATTTGTTACAGAATTATAGGCTATGAGCCAAACCAACTAGCTATGAGGTGAATCACAAAAGGTACAAGACTGTGTAAAGAGCTACAGTCCCATTGTTAAAGATGTAATTTAATTAAAACCTAAAATATAAATCCGTTATTGATTTTATATAAACACTTATACTAAACACTATAAATTGTACACTTATATATGTTTACAAAATAAGCATTATCTTAAAAATAGTGCCTGTTCCAAATTTTTTGAAATATGCCTTATGTATTCATTTTGGTTTCATATTGTTTTGAAGAATTTTTATTTTCAAAAAGTACATTTAATGACTGAATCAAAAGGTACAAGACAGTGTAAAGAGCTACAGTCCCATTGTTAAAGATGTAATTTAATTAAAACCTAAAATATAAATCCGTTATTGATTTTATATAAACACTTATACTAAACACTATAAATTGTACACTTATATATGTTTACAAAATAAGCATTATCTTAAAAATAGTGCCTGTTCCAAATTTTTTGAAATATGCCTTATGTATTCATTTTGGTTCATATTGTTTTGAAGAATTTTTATTTTCAAAAAGTACATTTAATGACTGAATCAATGAGTACATTTTAATTTAATGACTCTAGGTGTAGACGCGGTGTCTGTGTGTGAGCAAAGAAAACGGTCAGTATAAATATAACGATCAGTATACTAAACATCGCACATCCTGCGATGTGACTATCGCAGATGCGCACATTGCGATATTGATGCTGAAACAATATATCGTGCAGCCCTAAAAGTAAAGACAAACTCACCGTGTCTATCTAGTCATGAAGATATATATACATTTCAATGTCAGCAGGCAACTATTTTTACAGCTACATTATTATTCCAGCCACAATTAATCATAACAATGTATATACAATTACAAATGATTAAACATATAAATCATCAGTTTCTTGTTTTACACACATGCACACAGACATGAATTAATTCACGACATAGTCATGAGATGCATAAGAAATCTTTAGATGCACCCATAACAACAAAAGACAATACTTTATTGAACCTTTTCTGATAAGAAGTGTGCGCTGCAAACACGAGTATTTTTGACGATCGTTTCTGTCCAGTCCGCTTGTTTTATCACGTTTAACCACAGCCGTCGTCGTTTTTTTGTCTGGCAGTGGCAGCAGGTATGTGATAAAATTTATAATTTGAGGCTGTATTACCTCGATTCTGGCACCCAACATCACAACAAGATGACATTTAAAGCTCCTTATGTAGCCGAATCTGCGCTGGTTTGAATTGGCCGCCTCCAGTTTTCCCTTTGTTTTGCCTCCAGCTAGCGCTGTGATGTAATTGTGACGTCGGCCCTAAAAGGGTCTATAAGTTGACATAAAATAAATAAATTCCCCTATGGAGAAAATGAATGGGATTCTTACTTCCAGAACCTGATTGTTGCATTCTATAGAAACCAAACAACTGACAAAATATGATGCCCGTCTTTAAAGTCACCTTGGACAAAAAAAAATCACAGAGGAAATCTCCAACAAGAAGGTTTTTCAATTATGTTTCATTTAAGTGCCAACTTTGTGTCAGAATATCCATCTTAAATCTGTTAGAAGACGTAAAAACCGATACAAATGAGACAACCGTTGACGTATTGTAAGAGTTAAATAATGCATATAATGTAATATAATGATATATTTGGATAGTATAGCTCATAATTTGGTTTTGAAAGAATGTATTTAGAAAAGTTGAGATCGTATTGAGATATCCAACTTCTGATTGCAGGCTTTGGTGTGTTAGTGTGTGATACATTCTGAAACTCTAGAAGAGACACAGATTACTAGGGTCATTATCATAGATGATGAAGTTTCAGTTTGCTCTCCAATTGAAATATTAAAGAAATCTCGGTTGTGATTTTTCTTTTTCCTGTGGGGTGATTCATCGCTTAGTACTTTATCGCTTCACACTTGGTTAGGATGTGGTGTAAGGTGAAGCAGAGGACATATGCGACAGACAGGAAAACAGAATGGGGACTTAAATGGGTAGAGAAAAGTCAAAGATACCCACTATGCTGCAGAATCATTGAGCTGGTACTCTCTGGATCGACTGAAACAGGCCTGCACTCCTCCATCCTTCCACAAACGCTTTATCACTCCAGCCAGCTCGGCTGTCATGAAACCCTCTTCAGCACTGCCCGCCAACACAAACAACTGCCTCGCGTCATCCTGAGACACAAAGAGAGAACAGCAGATTTTAATTCTTCCATGAATTCAATTATCATTAGCTATGTTTCCATCCACCTATTTTTATGCGCATTTTGAAATATTGCATTAAAAAAACACTGGATGGAAATGCCAAGATGCCCAGAATTCTTCCATGAATTCAATTATCATTAGCTATGTTTCCATCCACCTATTTTTATGCGCATTTTGGAATATTGCATTAAAAAAACACTGGATGGAAATGCCAAGATGCCCATAAATTAAAAAAATGCGCATAAAAAACGTATGAGCACAATTGAGTAGGATAAACCTTTTATCCGATAAGAAAAAATGCGCACTAAACTACGATGGAAACACTTTTACTGAATAAATTCCACCATGCGCATCAAAAAAGTCATGTGACTTTGCACGATGGGATGGGATAACTTGACTAACCGGTGGACCGATCTCGTTCACAGCATCTGAAATGTTGTTTTGGTCGTTCTGAAATGTCTGCAAAGTCTGTCATCCAAGTATTTCTGTATAATTGACTTTACACGACTGTGTTCAAACATCATGCATCCACCTCCAAAAGCAATGACAGCATTTATTGTTTCGTTTGCTCGCTCTGAGGTGCAAGTAATTTATCATAAATGAAAATTATTATATTCAGTGGCTTCTCCAACTTTTCGTAGTGATATTTGGTGCCAGTTTATCAGGAAGTGACAATTTTGTTCTCTTTGACTCGTTGGATGGAACGGTGCTTTATTCGAAAATATTTTATGCGATATTCTAGTTTTGTGCATAAGTTAGATTTGCATCTTTAGATGGAAACATAGCTACTAGCATGTGAACGGTCTATTCGTTTCAGTTTGGTGCTTTGTTTCTGAGAAGCTCCTGTGTGAAATTTTAAAACCCTGTAGAGCGATGTAGACAAGATCCTGAAAATACAAGATCTAAGACACTGAACATTGTTGTACATAGTCATTCTAACGCTTTCCTTATTTCATTATTGCCTATGAATATTTCATTAACTTCTCAGAGTGGTGGTTGAAGGAATAGTTCAAAGCAGTTAGAATGAATTTACATTCATTTTAAACGCGGAGCCAGGCGCGAGTCGACACAGGTTGCGCGTCAAGCCTCATCCATACTGCCAGATGCGCTCGTGAAGACTTGCGGTGCGGAGCCGGGTGCGGAGCATTACGAGACAGGCTGCGTGAGTGCGACAAGCATGAATGGCTTGTCCGTGACGCGGGCTTCGCGCCGCGTGGGGCAGAGAGGAGCGAGTATGAGAAGCATTCACAGACACAGGCTGTGTGTGCGCTCTTCTGAACTGGGAATAGCCAACATACATTATAAACTTATTTCGAATTAATCTGTTGGGGAGATAAAATGTGTAAGATAACGTTCACGTACTAACTGCAACTCAAGGCTGGCAGTTATGCATATGCTCTGGAACAGAGTAATATCGCGTCCACATCGCAGGCCTTGCAATTAGGAAATCGCAACGTCTCAAATCGCGATTTCGATTCGATTTCGATTAATCGCACAGCCCTAGTGTGAAGAACATTTAGTGTGAAGTTAAAGGTTCTTCATGCAACCATAGATGCCAATAAAGAACCTTTATTTTTAAGAATGTATTTCTGTACATATCTTCAATTGCATTTTGGGATGGGGCAATCTGTTTGTTCGACCAATGGCTGATGGGAAATTAGTTCGTCGGTACAAAAATTTGATATTTCAGTTGTCAAAATTTACTTTTAATGGTTGGTCTACCCTTTTGAGCAAATGAAATTCACCACACCACATGCCTTTCTGATATTCGTGCTTGTATTATGCAAACGTTACCAAGTTTAGACCATTTAAAGGGTTAGTTCACCCCAAAATGAAAATTCTGTCATTAATTACTCACCCTCATGCCAATCCAAAGCCGTAAGTCCTTAGTTTTTTGAGCACAAAGAAAACAACAATAACATAATTTTTTCAACAATTCCTCTCCCTCGAGTTACGTCTTATGCCATTTTAGAGAGTATCACAATGCATATGCACGCTTTCCCCTAAGCTTTCCCCTAAGCGCAAACAATGCTGATTACGCAGATTACGTTCATGCGCGCACTTTCTCCCCCGAACGTAAACAACGCTGATTACATAGATTACGCTATTGGGTACTCTCCAAAATGGTGGAAGACGTAACTCGGGGGAGAAGAACTGTTAAAAAATTATTTTTGTTTTCTTTGTGCTCAAAAAGTATTCTCGAGCCACTGATGTCACATGGACTGTTTTACCGATGTCCTTACTATGTTTCTGGACCTGGGAACATTACAGTTGCGTTGCTGTCTATGCAGGGTCCGAGAGCTCTCACATTTCATCAAAAATATCTTAATTTGTGTTCCGAAGATGAATGAAGATCTTACGGGTTTAGAACGACATGAGGGTGAGTAATTAATGACAGAATTTTCATTTTGGTGTGAACAAACCCTTTAAATGGTCAAGGTACTTTCAGTAGAGTGTGTACAGCTCTTTGCCAAAGGCTTAGTGCCTGATCAAAGACCAGCATCTGATAAGCTTATTATGGGTTACAATGGAAACCATAAGTAAGTGGATGGTGACCGATCAACTTCTAAGGGCTCAAGAGTGTGGTAAAATGGTTCGGTCATTTCAGCACAATAGAATCAAATAATAGACCATCACTTTGTGGACAGTAATTGTTCTAGTATAACACAATACACAAAGGTAGCCCATATTAAATTAATTTACATATTGCTGAATACAGTGTTTAAAATATTTAAAATATTAAAAAAATAAAATAAGTGTATGCTGAACTACTCAGTAATATTTTCTTTTTAAGAATTTCATTCTTTTAATCAGACACTTTTCTTTAGTATGATATCTGATTTTTTTGGACACACATACACACACAAATATTATTATTTATACTGTAGTATTTACATTTTTACTTTTGTTTCATATTTTCAGTTTTCACTTTAATTTTATCTAGTTATGTACTACTTGTCCTTTTAATTGTCTAATATTATTTTCATTTATAAATTTATATAATTTGTAAATAATTCTATATTGCTTTTAATAAATTTTCATTTCAGTTTAAGTTTTAATACATCAACTTAAAATTGTCAGTTCAGCCAAGAAAACATTTTATATTATATTTTAGTTCAGCTTTATTTCAATTAGTGAAAATTAATTTTTTCATAGTTTTACTTTTAGTATACTGTAACAATTCAGTTGATTGAATGTATGAATTACAATTTGAATGTATTTTTGAATAAATTATTAGATAGGAAAAAATGAGGGTAAAAACACACCCTTGTGTGTTTTGCTCCCTGTTATCTGTGTGTAAAATCAGCTCCTGCCATGGAAAACAAAACAGACATTTAATTTCTATCCAACTGTTTTTAAAAGCTGAAACATTATTACACCTGTAACGGAAGAATTCCGAAAGGCTGTGGCGGAATATTAAACCACTGAATCGGAAAATAGAGGTGTATGTTTTTATAACAAGAAACTGTGTTATGAGCAGTGCTGGAAACAGCCCTACAGGGCTAAAGCAACCTGGGAAAGATCTTAATAAAGCAACGGACAAACCCAGAGAAACATGCCACTAGAGGAACTAGGTGCGAGCCAGTTTCTACTCGTGAAAATGAACTGTGGAGGATCTATGAGCCGTGGCACAATTACACTCATCTAGCTTTTGTCCACTTGACACATGTGATCAAATGCTCGAGTCCAAACTCTCATCACCGTGCCATAGCAACCGGCCCTGTTTCTGAGGACATGCTGCCAAAGAGGGCTCAGATACCTGATGGGCGCATGCCAGCGAAAAGCAGCTCTGCAGTGTATCGCTCATATGCATGCGTTTCCAGTAATGCATGATAATCCCTGTTTTTCATAGTAACTTACTCTTGGTTTCCTGCTGATTGTGCACATAAAACGTGTGTCATTACATTGTGGCAGATAAACCTCTTCTGTTTGATCGTCGTTTCTGGTGGCCCGTGTTGTACGGTCAAGGGTCTGGATGTAAATATGCAGTGTAAATTGTTGGAACTTTAATGATTTGTTGATATAAAACCATTTAGTATAAAACTATAAAAAAGGATGCACATTTAATCAGCCATAAATTAGTAATTTACTTATAATAGAAGATTTTAGCTGTGACAACATCAAGATTCCAAATGAGAGGAAGCATCAGAAAAGCTTCACTTGGTTTGTCATCTATCTGCATGGTACTAAAAAATGACTACAGTACCAAAATGAGAAAATGTCAACATTAGCAAATATCAACCGATTAATCTGCCTGGCTGATAATTCATTGCTTCCTTTGGTGGATTGAACGAACCAAGCGGTTCCTCACAAGCGAACACCCATCATGACACACTTGAACACCTTGTAAACTTAAAAATTAGGTTGTCGGGACACTGTGAGCAAACCTGCTGAGGTGTGATAAACAAATGTCAACAAATGCTGGAATTGCCTTGGATGAACCGTTTCCTTCTTTAGTGGGTCTCACAGAGAAATTTTTAGGTTATATTTCACTCCAAAATTAAAGAAACAAAATAAGAAATGATTTTGCATTAAAAAGTGTCCACAATGCATTTTTGGTCGGTTAGATCCCATTCAAGAATGCATATATCTTAATAAATAAAAATGTATACATTTACATTGCCTTGGAAACTACTTGATTTGTAAAAGGCATTCAAATACCATTGATTTTATTTATAATATAGTAATTATATGTCTGACATTTAAAAAATTACAATAGTGTATCTATTTCCTTCATTTGGAGGCAAATCTCATGATCACCTTTATTTGATCCACTGGCACAGCTTACCCCAAAGAACCTGACATGCTTTGCTTTACAGCTACCGTTTAAAAAAAATTGTGATTTGCCAATGTATAAAATAAAGTAACAATTCATTTTGGTCACAATTCATTTTAAGGTCCAATTCACACTATTAACAAACCATTAACTACAACTTTTGCCTCAAAAAACTCCTAATTTTCTGC